AAAACACACTTGAAACAAAGGCATCTGGTGTTTTGTGCTTTATCTATTGACAACTGATATTTTGACATGTGGCACGGCTCTTCTTCACATGGTGGATTCTGACGACAAGGAGTGTGACTGCATTAACTACCTAATTGTCAAGAAGCAGGTTGTTAGAAATAATTTTTTTACATAATATAAAAAATATATAATTATAAAATTATAAGTAAATTTTTTATTTAATTATATATTAATAATTTAAAAAAAAATAATAAATAATAATATAACATAATTAAAATAAAAAAATAAAACATTTTAAAATATATAAAAAAATAAAAATAATAAAATAACTAGTCAACTGATATCTTAAAAACCTAAAATCAATCAACTAGTTATTTACATACAATTAAAAAAATTACTCATTATATATTTTTTATAAATTTATAAACTTAATTTGATTTTAATAATTTTATTGATTTTACGTGAATTAAGTCTAATTTTATTAATTTTTAAATTTTTAATTTAATTTTACATATTAAATATATTGAATCATCAACTTGTGATATTAAGAAGAGTGTCATTAGTTAACCATCTAGGTGGTGGCCAAGTGGTAAGGACTTGAGATCAAGAGGTTTGCTCCCTCTGTGGTCTCAGGTTCGAGTCCTTAGTTGCTCATATGATGGCCACTGGAGGCTTACATGGTCGTTAACTTCAGGGCCCGTGGGATTAGTCGTGGTGCGCGCAAGCTGGCCCGGACACCCATGTTAATCTAAAAAAATAGTGTCATTAGTTTCATTTCCTCTTGAATTTTGCTGGTTATAATGAACCCTGGTGTTTAACAAGTTTAAGTGCTTTGAATAATTCTCATTTCCTCTCAATTTTATTTTTCTGTGTTTCAGTTTGTAGATAACTCAGCATTTGATTTTGATTAGTTATTGATGTGTTTTTCTTTTCCCTTTCTTTTCCAGCTTTCATTTAACCTGTTAATGTATATAAGAAAAAAAAAAGAAATATCATCCAATAAAAAATATCAATTAATAGATACTTTATATTTTTGAAATACTATAATCTAATAAATCCTATTCATGTGCTTGCATGTTTATGGAGTCATTTGTAATAATATCAATTAATAGATACTTGATTTTGTTTTAGAAAACTTAAAATTAAAAACCCGGACAGTGCATGGGAGATATTAAAAGGAACCCTTTTATACTATGAACGTAACAAATAGAATTCATTAATAAATAAGTAGTTGTTAAAGGTGAAAAGGTAGAAAAATTAGTGAGATTACAGTCATGGTGCATGTTAGATATGTTGTTTGCACTTTATCACGGCCAACAATTTTTTTTTGTGTACAATAAGTGATAAGTTTAAAAAAAAAATCAAATCTAAAATCATTGGTTCAAGTGGTAAATTAAATAATACAAAAACAATAATGATAAAAAAATAAAAATAATTATACCTAAACCTATTCGGATTATCAAACAACTTAATATTAATCTAATTAAAATAAAACCACAAAAAAAAGTAAAAATTCAAAAAAAAACATCAACTAAAAAAAACTAAAAAAACTTAGACGAACCTCTTAAACATAGTTTAATTTAAAAAACCTATAATTTATTAAATCATTGGCTTGAATTTAATCCAAAAACTTAAATGTTAGCCAATTTAATTCTAAAAATTTTAATGAAAAAACTTGCAAAATAAAAGAAACAAAAAAAAATAAGGCTAAAATCTAATAGGGAAAAACCCAACAAAGATGAAATTTGAAAAAAAAATCCCCCTAAAAAATTACAATTAAAAAAATTAGGACCAAACTTAAAAGATTAGAAAATCATGAGGGGTGAAATTAAAAATTATTTGTAATATGATATATTATTTATAGATTAAAAATGGTAAGGGGTGAAATAAAAAAAAATTGAGGGCTAATCGAATAGAAAAATAAAATGTTCAAAAATAAAATTGAGAAAAAAAAAACTATAATTAACTCGTTAAACCCGTAGTTTAGATAATGAGTTTGAGATAACCTTATAAAAAATAAATTAAAATTTTCTTTATGAAACACAATCCCCTAATAAACCTAATGTAAAAGATGTAATTGAAATAAAAAATTATAAAAAAAATACTATTTAAATAAATAGTGTTTTTGTATAACTTTTTTTATACACCATTCTAGTTTATGTACGTCATTTAAGTGGATAATATAACAAGAGGAGAGATATAGTTAAACTTTCTCATCCTTGAGAATTTTTTATAAAAACAAAATAGTTTTAGTCTTATATTAGATTGGTTTGTGCTATGTTGTGAGTTGGATCGATTATTTTTTAAATATAAAAAAATTTCCAACTGTTACTAATTTTTTTATAGTAAAAAAATAAAGAGTGTGAGAATTGATTTAATTTAACTTGGTCATATTGATGGATCCAAAAATAACTTAAATAACTGGTAAGAACATGGTATGGCTTGAGATGAATATATATGATGAGAATTATTTTAATAAATATTGAAATGAAAACATATTGGATTGATTCATGTCAATTTATCAATCCACATACTAAGTCATGAGATAATAATAACTCTATATAAATCAATTCAAAACAAATTATAAAATATAATTTTAAATAAACTCATTGCTGACTAATGAAATTGGAAAAAAAAATTAATTAAAAAAAGACCTAAAAAAATGATACAATTTAATTCGGGTTGACCTGTCAAACTTGTAACTTGAGTCATGAAACTAAGATAACTAATAAAAATCAAATTAAAACAAATTATAAAGCTAAATTCTAAATTAATCTAGTCTAGAAAGATAAAATTAAAAAAAATAAATAAAAAATAAATAAAGAATAACTTAAGTGAACCGAGATTAACTTGCCAAATTAACAACTCAAGTTATGAGATGGAGATAATCTCATATAAAGCAACCCTAAATAAATTATAAAATCTAATTCCCAATTAACTTAATATTTAAAGATGATATTGAGAAAAAAAAGTCAAATAGAAAAGAAAAGAAAATACTTGAGTTAACCTAGTTAACCCATTAAACTTGTAGTTCAGGTTATGAGTTTGATATGACATCATAAAAAGTAAATTAAAAAAATTATGAAACCCAATTTTTAATAAATCTAATGTTGAATGATGAAACTAAAATTGAAAAAAAAAGTTAAGAAAAAAAGACTATTCTAGTTAATAGAGTAAAACCCTCTCCTCCTGTAATTTTTCATTGATTCTAAATCAATTCAATGTTGAAAGATAAATTTAAAAAACAAATTAATTAGAAAAAACTCAAGTAAATCAAGTTAATATGTCAAATTTGTAATCCGAATTGGAAATTTAAAATAACCTTATAAAAAGTAAAATATTTTTTATTAAACTTAATTTTTAATAAATCTAATGTTGAATAATAAAATTAAAATAAATAAAAAAACAAAGAATTGAAAAGAAAATAATATTACATTAAATATTGTTGTGAGAAAAGAGGTACAATAAAAAAGATGTCTAATTAGTGTTATATTAGACTGGCATGCACTATGCTGTGAGTTGGATCAATTGTTTTAATATAAAAAAATATTCAAGTGTTGCTAATTTCTTTGTAGTAAAAAAATAAACCGTGTGAGAATTGATTTAATATGACTTAGTCATATTAGCGGGTTCAAAAATAACTCAAATGATCGGTAAGAACATGGTATGACTCGAGACAAATATATACGATAAGAACTGTTTAATAAATATTGAAATGACAACATATTGGATTGATTCAAGTTAATTTATTAATCCACGTAATAAGTCATGAGATAATGATAACTCTATATAAATTAAATTAAAATAAATTATGAAATATAATTTCTAATAAAGTCAATGCTAACTGATGAAACTGGAAAAAAAATCAATTGAAAAAACTTAAAAAAATGACACAATGTAATTCAGGTTAATCTGCCAAACTTGTAATACGAGTCATAAAACTAAGATAACTAATAAAAAGCAAATGGAACAAATTATAAAGCTAAATTCTTAATCAATTCAGTATATAAAGATAAAATTAAAAAAATTAAAAAATAAATAAATAACAACTCCAATGAACTAAAATTAACTCGTCAAACTCATAACTTGAATTATGAAATGAGAATAATCTAATATAAAGTAAATCTAAATTAATTATAAAATCTAATTTACAATTAACTCAATATTAAATAATGATATTGAGAAAAAAAAATCAATTAGAAAAGAAAAGAAAAACTTAAGCCTACCTAGTTAACCATTCAAATCTATAGTCCGAGTTATGAGTTTAAGATAATATTATAAAAAATAAATTAAAAAAAATTATAAAATTTAATTGTTAATAAATTTAATATTAAATAATAAAATTAAAATAAAAAAACAGGAAAAAAAACTATTATAATGAATAGTGTTACATGAGGAGAGATAAATTATAACCCTTTCCTCTTATAATTTTTTATTAATTATAAATTAATTTAATATTAAAAGAGAAAATTATAAAAATTAATTCTAAAAACTCGAGTAAATTAAATTAATCTATTATATTTGTAAATTTAGATTAAAAATTTAAATAATCTTATAAAAAGTAAAATAATTATTTTACTAAATTTAATTTCTAATAAATGTAATATTGAATAATAAAATTTAAAAAATAAAAATTAAAAGAAAAAAATATTACATTAAATATTATTATGAGAAAAGAGGTATAATTTTTTTTTTTTATCAACAAAGAGGGTATAATAATTTTTTTTTTTTAAGTTTTAGATAATGTTTGGTAGTAGCAATAATTTTTTAAAATATTTTTATTTAAAAAATATTTTTTAAAAATATTTTTTTAATTTTTAAAATTTATGTTTTATATTAGTTTATTAAAATAATTTAAAAATTTTAAATAAAATATTTTTAAATAAAAAAATATTTAAAAAAAAAATATGATTTTACTGCTACAAATGCTACCTCCGTGTTATACGAGGAGGGTATATTAAAATCATCAGCTCTTTTTCTTGTTTTCTTTTTTTTATTACGAATGTAGCTGAATTTTTCAAATAGAAATAGCTTTTCAATGGCTGAAACTCACTTTCAAGAATCCAGTAATTGTCTCCCCACCCTTTTCACTACCTCTTGCTCTCTCTCTCTCTCTAAAAAAAAAACAAAAAAAAGCAACAGAGATATGGATTCAACCTCACTACCCCAATGGTCATCTCTTCCAAGTGATCTTTTGTTCAATATCGCCAGCATCCTCGGCACTCGCATTGATTTGCTTAGTCTCCGTGCTGTTTGCAACTCATGGCGTTCCTCTCTTCCTCTCCCTCCCAAAGCTCCTCTCGTCAAACTTCCTTTTCCCATTGACCCCAATAACCCTAACCTCAATCCTAACCGCCATGGCCACTTTGCACTTAGTGAGTCCTTCAGTTACTCTCTCGAACCCATCAACAGAGACCCAAAAAGGACTTGGCTTATCAAAATTCAAGAGTCAGAATCTGGGAATGTTATTCTCAAAGACCCACTTGCTCAACACCCGCTTGCTGGCTTAGATCGTTTGCCTAAAGTTTTGAACTTATTGGATTACAGAGTTAAGGAGATAAGCAAAGGATATTTTGTTGAGTTTGTTGAGCAAGGTAAAGCCCCTTATCCTTCCATCTTTGTTAATGAAATGAAGTCGTGTATTTCTATCAAGCAAGTTGCTGTTTCTACGAGTTTTGACAAAATTGGTGATCATGGTTTTGTTGTTATGGTGATATATAATGGTGGGAAGCTGGCTTTGTGGAGAATGGGAGACGATAAATGGAGTAATGTAAATGATATTCTAGAAGGATCTGTATATGATAGTGTTGCTTATAATAATGGGAAGTTTTTTGCTATTGATGTCAATGGATTAACAATTAGTATTGATCCAGCGAAAGCTTCGTTTGAGATCATGGAAGTTGCTCCAGCAATACCACGGTCTGGGTTTGGACACGGTGATAAGTTTAAGTACCTGGTTAAGTGGTTTTCGGATTTGTTTTTAGTTGAGAAGTACCATGAAGATCTTTTTTATTGGTCGGAGTCGGATGATGAAGATGATTATCATATCAAATTTAAAATTTACAAGATGAATGAAGAGGAGTGTGATTGGGTTGAGATGGATGGATTGAAAGATGCTGTATTGTTTCTTGGTGATGGTTGTTCGTTCTTTGTTTGGGCTAAAGATTTAGCTTGGTGGAAAGGGAATTGTATTTGTTTTCTTAATTACTTGTTTATGGGATCTGGTAGTGACGGCCCAGGGCCCATGGCTGGGATTTTTGATTTTGAGGATGGTATTTCTAGGAAGTTATCCAAGTTCTCAAGTTGTTCAAAGCTTTTTTGGCCACCACCATCTTGGCTCAAGCACTACCCCTGAATGTCTAGACACCTAAAGTACGAATTTCTCTAGAGCTTTTGGATATCAGTTCATGGTACAAATCATTTGTTGTCAAATCCATTTATGGTATCATTTTTATTCTTTGGAAGAATCAAGGGTATCTGTAAATATTTGCGCATGTTGTCTCTCCATCATATCACTTCTTGTTAGAAGTTGAATTCTGAATCTCCTTGTCATTCTCTTTTCATCTTTTCTTAGACGAATGTTGATTGTGTAATTGTCGGATTTTAATTTGCTGCAATCAACTAAGGGCATATTGACAAGTTCAAATAATATATTATATGATCTAAGCATAGAAGCACTATTGCGTACTCTTGTTCGTTTGTCGTGTATGATTTGCTCAATATCACTATGTTGTATTTATTGCCACTTTTTTTCCGTTTTTGTAAAATAGGCAGCACTTTTTCAAGATAGAATACATATCCAATCCCCCCACCTCCCTTACCACCTAAGCTAACTCTCGGAATATTTATTTCATTAACATTATATGAAATTGTTTGTGAATACAACGTTTATATATTTTTATGCAGACAAGTCCATTCTTGGGACATTTCTAGTTCGACATAATTTTAGGATCCATGTCACATGCTGGCGCTTGATTCTTTAATTCCCTCACTTGTTCTGTCTTCTTCTTATAGCTCCTTGTCTCTTCCCCAACTTGAAGAAATTTTTCCCTTTCCTGATGAAGATTTCTTGCAAGTGATAATGCGACTTGGTAATCATCATTTCAAGTTGTTGGAAAATCAACAAGCACACAGAGCATAACAAGCCGTCACTTCATTTGATTATTATTACTAGTGCTTAGACCACCTGGGCTAAAATAGACGATAAAATGTTTGAGATTTTTTGGCCAGATAGAGGTATTCAGCTGTTTTGAGATATTTCCAGCTTCATTGGCATTTCTATTGCCCTAATTTATATTATGGCTGCTTAGGGGGATTTCAGTGATCATCTGTTTTGAGCCGAGGAAGTTTTTGCTTACTCTTGAGTATTTTTATTTTCGTAGCATCCGCTATTTGAAAACATGCAACTTTTCTTAAACTTTCTGATTTGTGTTAGATGTTCCAAATATTTCAGACATTTGTTACATCTTATGTTCACTAGTGTGCTTTCATTCTATTTTTCCCATAGTTTTTTCTTTTATCCTGCTTGCAGACTAGCTGTTTGAAGAGATCTTCTTGCTTTTATACATCTATGGAGATGATCAAAGCCATAAAATTTTATCAAGGAAGTAGCAACTGCTTAGCTAATCTTAGTTACATAAATAATGCAAAGCAGTAGTCTCTTCCTTTACATCACCTACTGTGTGCTAGATGGTAGTTTTGTAATCTAATGTAATAACGACTGTTGATGGTTTTGATTTTGCATTATATTTCCCCTTCATTTACTCATGGAATGTTATTTTAGTTTTTAAACCATGCTGGTAGAAGCTGAGATTAGTGGACCTATGAAATTGTCAACAGGTGATTTCATGTCTTGTTCTGCCTTGCATCGGAAAAAAGATCTTCGCTCCTTGTTTGAATTGGGTATGCTAGGGGGAATTACCGTGGATTAACAGATGATTTTGAACTTTCAAGTATGTTTAGATTGTGCTTTTTAAGTATGTCTAGATTTGTGCTTTTAAGTAAAAGGTTATAATAATTTCTCTCTTTTGGATGAGGATGTAGAACTGTGCCTGTATTTTTCACCATCACCGGTGTCCACAGAGGGGGATTAATTTATACACCCTTGTTTAGAGAGCATGGTGAGTTTTGCAGTCACGAGTTTCAACATCAATGAGAGAGATGGCGTTTGAATTTTGCTTGTTTTTGTGTCTCATGCTTGTCTTTGCTGCAAGTGCTCTGCCGGTAACTCCATTTCATTCTCAGATATGCTCTTCAGTTTTTATTATAGTTATCATTTACAATAGGTGACTGAGAGGGAAATGAGAGGGAAATTATCATTTACAAAGTTAATCTAGTATTCTGAAACTCACATTTCAGGGAAATAAAAACATGGCAGGATGCTCTTTATTTGCATATTAATATATGGGTTAATGAGGGTGGGTTAGCTGGTATTGTAGTGTGCAATAGGCCAGATGGTTATAGAAATGCTCTTAATTTATGGTATTGCACATGGTCTTCTTCTTCACAGCAATTCTTGTCGCTGCTGCTTACTAGCTGCCATCTTGTTATATTTCTTCACAAATCACAGCCCGTTGCATAAGTGAAATAGCCTTAAATGACTGTAAGCAAGCAGATTAGTTCATGTTTACCACCATCAAAGATGCTTTTTGAAACTGTATTCTAGACCAAACGGTGTTTCATGTTTTGAAACCTTTTGATAAATATAATATAATATATTGATGTGAAAAATAATTTTCAAAAAATAAAATCCTATGTTCTGTTTACCAATGTCCAGTTCATGCAGAAACAAATAGTTGATTACACCTCCCAAGAAATCTTAGCATAGACAGAACAATTTATTAAGTGCAAATCAAAATCATGAGCTACAAATCAGGCAACCTGTTGCTCGTTAATCTCGTTTTTTGACTTGTGATTCATTGTTGAGCTGTCACTCTCCTCTTCAGTCTAACAGGCAAGCCCCCTCTCATCTTGAGAACCATGGTTAATTTGTAAGGTGGGTTCATCATTTTATTTGCAGTGGCGCCTCCATCAACAGGCATGATCTCAAACTCATGCATCACAGCTGCAGCTATTGCCTTCATTTGGATATAAGCCATTTGCTTCCCCAAACACATCCTGGGACCGCAATGAAACACAGGATATCTAAATTGATCAAACGGTTGATACACTCCATCACTATCTAACCACCTCTCAGGCTTAAACTCCCTGCAATCCTGACCCCACACTTTCTCCATCCTACCCATTGCATAAGCAGAATAATCAGCAAACCACCCTTTCCTAACATAGGTTCCATCTGGTAATATATCATCTTCCACCGTTGATCTTGAATTGATTGGTACAGGTGGAAACAACCTCATTGACTCTGATAGAGCAGCGTGCAAATAGTGAAAATTCTTCAACTCTTCGTAGCTAAAAATCCTTCCCCTTGAATCTCTCGCAGGCAGCGGGGAGGCCGATGATATTTCATTGTAAATCAAAGACCCACAATGAGGGTTGCCAGCAATTAACCAAAAAAACCATGTTAAAGCTGTTGAAGTTGAGTCCTTGCCAGCAAGCACAAAGCTTATGATTATGTCTCTCAAGAACTTCCTTTTATGTTCTTGATCTTGAAATTCCATGTCAGAACTCAACAACATAAATCTTGACAGCAAATCTTGATTCTTGCCGCCATCTTGTTCTTGCCTCGATTTTATTACTGCCAAAGCAAACTCATTAATCACTTTAACAGCTTCTTTAAGTCTCTTCTCTGATCCTATTTTCAAGGATCTTTGAAGCTTCCATAACGCAGGAAATGGAGCCATAAATCTTGAAAACCCAATTTCCACAGCATCATCAAAAGCCTCAACAAAAGTTAAATTTGACATAGATTCAGGGTCAACCCCAAAAGCAACTTTGCATATGTTAGTGAAAGTGAACTTTTGCAACACTTCTTGCATATCGATGATCAAGTTGTGATCACATGCTTTGAATAAGTCTGGCATGAGACTGTTGGACAGTTCAGATTTGACTATATCTGATACGAAGTGTTTGAGAGATTTAGTGTTGAATTCATGGCTAGCAATCTTACGTTGTACAGTCCAGAGGTGACCATCAACGTTAAAGATTCCATGGCCAAGGAGTTCTTGGAGATAGTCAAGATAACGATGACCTTTGATATAGTTGGAGAAGTTGGTGACAAGGAGGTGCTCTAAATTGACAGGGTTGGCAGTGCAGATGATATGGGAGAGGTTGAGAAAGTTGTTGACTTGGAGAGTCGATGATGGGGTTGTGGAGAGCATGTCAGCGACCCAGTCGTGGAAGCGGTGGCGGTTGCGGAGGAGGCCGGGGAGGATTCCTATTATAGGGTAAGTTTCTGGACATGGGGTTTTGCTTGGAGGATGAGAAGTGGAGCGGAAGAAGCTAATGAAGATGACGACTGAAATGGAAGTGAGAAACAAGGTAAGAAAGGAGAGTTCCAACATCATTTAGCTCAAATAATGTGGAGGCTTTTCTTCCCCCTCCTATCTAATCCATGGCTGATCTTTGACTTTATGCCCGGTTTACTAAAATGTGGAAACCAAGCCATCACAAGGATAATACTGTGTATGCACACACACTAAGATAATTCTCAGACCAAAATTTTTTTTCCTCTAAAAAAATAATATTAAGATGAAAGAAAGTTTATTGATTGAGTTATTAAACACAATTTAACTGGTAAAATTTAGAATATTTTGGTTATAATTTCTGTTAAAATCAAGTTTTAAATTAAATTATATAAAAATTATTTTGATACAATTCAGTTAATTTGACGAATTAAAAAACTTTCATATAACTTATAAAAATATAGTTTAACTTTAAAAATATTTTCAAGATAATATATTTATTAAAAAAATATTGGGACGATGACTTGTTGGATTAACATATGTCAAACTATATAACATGTTAAATATATAAATTGAGTCATTAACTTTATTGAATTTAATATCTTTTCTAAAATAATTATTTTTATTTAATTATATAATAAAAATATAAATACTTGAAAAAAAAATATCAACTCAATATTAGGATGTTTTTATGAAACCACAATAACTCTATTAAAAATAAATCATAAAATCTATTTCTTAATAATTAGTTTTTTAATTATTTTTTATTTAATAATATGATAAAAAATAAATGCTTAAAAAACTGAATAACAACCCAATGTTGATATGTTGTTTTAAGATTACGATAACTCCATAAAAATAAATTGAAATAAATCATGAAGCTAGTTCATAAAAATTATATTTTTTTAAATTATTTTTTTTACAATATGATAGATCATTTTTTATTTAACAATATGGTAGGAAAAAAGTAGATCTTATAAACACTAATATAATGTCAGGATGTTTTTGGAGACTATAATAACTCTTTATAAAGAAATTTAAAATAAATAACAAAATCTAATTTTTAACTGAATTAATATTAAAATAATTTTTTTTTTTAAAAAAATACATATATAGCATCAAGGGATGATAGTTTCAACTTTCATCTGAGTAAAAAAAAAAATCTTCGGAAAATTACTCGAATGAATTATATATTTTACTGATATTAATAATAAAAAATATAGAGCATTAGAAAATTATTGTAACACTAAAAAGAGTTTACTGTAATTTATGATATTGATGGCATTCATCAAATCAATTGAGAAGTCTAGGCTTATAGGTAAAATGATATTTTCCAGTGAATCCAATAGTTATTCTTCTCACTTTCAATAGGGATACAAATATATTTACAACTTTTTTTTAAAAGGTGAAATACATTCACTGTACTTAAAAGAAAACAATCAAATAGGTTGCCAGTTTTTTTTTTTTTTTTGAGATTTTAATTTGTTTTGCATGGTTAAATTACTAACTTATTCTTTTATGTTTATTTTTATGGTACAATCATGAAATTACTAACTTTTTAATCTCATGCTTCAACATTCAATATTTTTTTTTGAAAATTAATTTCATGATTTTTTTTTAATTTTATTTATTGTCATGTTATTTTGATCTTGTAACCTAATATAATTTAGTAAGTTAATTATATAAGCTCAAGTTTTTATTTTAATAAATAATTGCTATTGTTTTTTGTATGTTTGATTTTTATTTTTCAATTTAGTTTTTCAATATTTAATTAATTAAAATTTAATCAAGATATTTCTAAATTTATTACTCTAATCAAATGACTAGAGGTACATGTTTAATAACTTAGCCTAAGTTGACATTATTTTTTATTACTGTTTTTTTAATCGATATTGAATTTTTCTTTTTTAAAATGTGTTTGTGTGAGCAGAATATATTTGTTTTTATCCAGCCTGAAATGGATTGCAGGTTACATGCCTAGTTATTAACTTCAACGGATAATGCATGCGCTACTTGATTAATAAAAAACTCATCTTCTCCAAATTTATTTATATTCTTGAAATTTGAAGAAATTATAACTACACAATCAAAGAATTTAGGATTCGTTCTCTCCCTCGCTGACATTTCAGCTACAACAATCAAGGGAAGAAAAGGCTATGCGTTCCATGTCTGAGACAAAACTAACAAACCACGCAAAATCATGTCCTCTCCAATCAACGCAACAATTTGTTTTTGCTTGGAAAAAGAAATACCAGTGGCACAAACGTCAACAAAGTTCTTATCGAGGGTGATTTGATTTTGTCTATTTGTGTTCTCATGAATGTGATTACACCGATTTGAATGGCGAGCGAGAGAACTGGAGGAGGAGGAGGTGGTGATCTCTACCCTGTGTGTGTTCATAGCTATGAGTCGGTATCTGGAATCCTAATGGGTCAGGCATCTAAAAATCCATATCTGCCATGCGCTTTGATACTCATTATTAGGACCATGCGCTTTCTCCCAGAGGTGAGGATCCATCTTTTCCGCAAACCATCAAGCAACCAGCTGAAGGGAAAAAATCTAACAGCGGAATGTGCCCTGACAAACTACACTGCTGGCAAATTTATTTCAGCAATCCTCAGTTACAAGGTGCTCCACCTTCATCAGGATTTGTTTAAAAATCTTCAGAAAAATAGACCAACAATTGGAAGACAAAACAATTAGGTCAATTCACTCAAAAGAACAGGAGCAAAATGGTGCAAGAAACTACTACCTTTATGTTTATCCATGCATTACACTACGAAGACAAGTTCGTTAGAACCATGCTGACACGTCCTTTTCAAATATGTTTCTAGATTAAAACATTTCAAACCAGAAATTAATGCAGAAGGCCAAATGAAACAACAGCTAATGAAGTATGACACCCACCTGAACTTGCGTCTTAAAGGGTTCACACACCTGTAACTGAAGGTCAATAAAAAAACGTAATACTTGCCAGTGTCTATCTTATAGAAAATACTCTACAGTAGCTGCTCCTCATGACTCACATTTTGAGACCTTTGCTCGGCCTGCTCTAGCTTTTTGGCAGTCCCCAGTGTTATAACAATAATGGCATGCTCCTCGATCATCTGTTTAACAAATTTAAGAATTGAACATTGTCAGACCGCCAGATCTTACAAGGAAACGCTTGGGGATGATGCTACGCCTTGGTACCTTGAAATCTATGACAGTGATGACAACAATACGAAAACCAAATAGAAAATTGTTAGAACATCAAATTTAAGCTTGGCTCCAAGAAACCAACTCACCTTTTCATGCAGGAGGAACATTACAATCACAGCTAAGGAGCTACATTCCATATTGATCAGTGTATGTGGACTTGTATATCTTGACTCTGATAAATTCAAAAAAGCAAATCAAGATATGATCCACACAATCAAATAAAAAATAGATGCACACCTCACCAGTAACAGTAACAGCAGAATTTTATTCAAAATGAAAGGCAGTAGAATTTTGCTTGAACAATGACCGGACTTCATAATTATGAGCCTAGAAATTTCAAAAGAAAGCATGGACTAGTTCAACTAGTGATATAAATAAGGTATGAGAGTAACATTTCTAGAGGCCTGATAGGTGATATGATAAGCCTCGATTTTGAACAATACCAGAGATATATTAAGAGTTTACAAGGAGATTTAGCATAAGATATTCTATTACTGAATCATAAATCAGATATTGCAGTATAGTCATGAATGAAGCACACCTTTATTAGGCCATTACCACCACCAACCAAGATGCCTTGACGATTGCAGGGTACTCAACAAGTTACAACTAGCAATTGTTTCCTCTTTTATATGTAGTATGTACACATGCTTTCCTATATATGTCACCTGAAAGATGGAATTTAAATATCCTTGACATGGAAGGAAGCTGAAAACAAAACAAAATAAAATTATAGCACATCAGAGAGATAATACAATGAGACTCACGTAGGAACATCTGCTGCTTGAGCCAGGAAGGATGAGCCCATCTTATCCCAGAGTGTTGCTATTCATGAGCTGGGGGGCAAGTAATACAATTCCCTTCGCATCCATTGCATCTGAAAACTGAGGGTTCTCAGATGCATGAATGAAACCAGGCTAAACTGCATCAACATATGCTATCTCAGCCATCTGGGAAGCAGAAATTATAACTTTAAAAAATTTACAAGGGAAATGAAAATTCAACTTTCTTTCTAGCTAATTAATAAGGTCAAACAGTGCATAATTGGAGAGAATGGATCATAATGATGCAAGGATAATAAGACACCCCATAGCTATTGATCTCGGTGATGATTTGAGCGCCATGAAGAAAAAGGGACTTCATTAGACTATATCACATACTAAACTACTCAACTCGATTGTACAATTCATTAACTATGCAAGATCACTGTTTTTATCCATATAAAGTCGGAATTCAAGAATTTTAGTCAAACAACAGAAAGTTAATCACAGTGGACAAAATTATTTTCTGATAGGAATTGTTTAACTGAATTTAGTTGTCTTTTTGTGGTTTGTTGTACTTCTAACTAAAACAGCAGAAGAAAACTTGAATGCACCAAATGTCAAAGAGCTCAGTGTAAGCACTCTATAATGAGCTGCACATCAGCATATTTATTATGATTGTCCTGCCAGGAACTTCAACACACTAATCAGCTATTCAATATACTCTACACTTATTCTGATGTCTTCAAGAGCAGCGTAACAGCAAGATAGTCTAATCCATGCAAAAAGTTTCATAAACCCATGTCCTTGTGCTACATATAAACTTGACAGCTTCCAGTTGTTTGCAGTTGAATATTATTGCAGAAAGATCTTGACAAGAAAAAATGACAGTTGAAAACAATATTGTTAAATATGCTAAACTATGATCTAGTTTACAAATTCAGTCAGTATGGTTCGACCTACTGAATTAACACACCCATAATGAAATTAAAAAATAATAGTATTTGCACGCATGATATCATGCAGGAAAAAACTCCGATATGGCAATTCGACTTCTTATTGCAGAAACATAACTAAATTTAAACTACAAGTTTCACCATATCAAATAATTCAGAGGCTCAGCAGCTTACCATTAGAATGCAGAAACATCACTAATAACCCAATTCAGTCACAATGTCTATGCTGGTTTTTCACAAGAAATACTTGCAGAAAAGGTGCTTAAAATATTGGAGCCATTCATCCCCTGTGATTTAAAATAATTCAACAACCAGAGAATTGCAGAATGGTTTATCACAATCCCAACTGTACCGGCAACATTTCCATTCTCATTGTCAAATTTCTCTGAAAATTTAGTCAAGCTGTCAAATAGCTTTGAGGCATTAGAGACAACCCATGATGCCAAAACTGTAGCAGCAAAGTCCTGGAATACATCATCAGGCAGCAACATGATTGCCCCAACAAGCTCAGGTGTGGGAGCACGGCAAATGCACAATGTAAGAAGGCCTCCCACAGCAATGGCACTTGTATTTGCATCCAGCTCATTAGAGCAGAAAAATTTCAAAATGATCTTCTCCAGCTGAACCTTAGAAACAGCAAGCTCTGATCTGACCAAGCCCCAAAGCTTGTGCTGCTCTGAAGGATCCCAACTGAGAGAGTTCTTCATTAAGTGAAAAATATCTTCAGCACTCTCCCCAAATACAAAGAATCTCTTCAGACCAATTTCGAACTGCATTTCAAGAAGATCAGCATGATCCAACTGACTCACAAGGAACCTGATTATATCAATGTTGCCAACACATAAGTCGGCAAGATGACAGAAGATGCTGTAGAAGAACTTTGTCTTTTTTCTTTCACAAAGAAAACAAGAGGTTATGTCTAGAATGAATAGCTTTGACAGAGCTAAATCATCTTCTTTATGCAGGATGGTTCTTGAACGTTCAAGGAAACATTTGTATGCAGCAAAAGCATTTTTTACCAACATATTAACTAATTCCTTATCCATCTTAGATGTAGAAACACTGCCTTCGAGAAAATCTTGTTTCCTTCCATTCAGAATAGAAAAATACCCATCAACATGGAAGAGTAATAATGACATCCCTGAGTCACTTATCTTAGAAAAGTTATTGTTGATGATTGCATTTCCTGAAGAATCTGATATACATGCCTCATAAGCTAACCTTGTTGCATAAGATAGTAAGTGAGCTCCTACATGAAAACCATTCCTTGACCAGAATAGAAGCATTTCTTGCAACCGTTCATGCTGAGAAAGTATGAAGGAGCGTGCAATTAAGATTGTGGGTGAATGAATTCCACTGTCAGAAGGAACACTAATGCTGACATCAAAAGGAGCAAATAATCGATTGCCAACGGATTCAAATTGATCTGCAATTCTTGAAGATAAAGTTTCAGGGAAAGTTGAACCACATGTTGATGCTTGGCCATCAAGATTCAGAAATGAGAGAAGTATTTCCTCCAAAATCTGAAGCCCCATTCTATTTGACTTCTTCATAGCTTCTGCCAGATTCTGTGCTAAGCTCTCAATAGCATCAAATTGACTTTCAATGGTAACATTTGTTGGGCAAGAAGTAGTAAACAGGTCACCTGAAATGGGAATAGAAGAACCAGCAGGTTCTTTGCTAAGCCTTACTTCCACAATCTTTGCAGATTGTTGTTCCGGAGCTGGTGTTGTTATTGCAAGATGAGAAACATTTTGCAAACTCGAACATGACACAGAATGAGGAGGAAGATGGGCTGGTTGCAACTCATTACTTTCAATATTCAAACGCAATATTAACTTCGTAAGTCCCTCTCTTAGGAAAGGAGAAAGAGCATCACATGAAGTCAGAATATCCAGTGACCGAACCACTCCTTTTTGAACAAGCATCCTCATAGCTGATGACAAACCCCTTATAATGACATAATTACGGTCCTCTTCATAGTTTTCAGCAATAAACAATAAAAATTCAAGAAGAGAGTGAGTTATATCTATATATTTTGGTATTGAGCATACCATTAATAGCATTGCAGGCTCAATGTTCATTATGTTGTCAATTTTTTCGTCAAAAAAAAGCCAGTCATAAAATAAGGCCAGCTTCATATTAGCTTCAACATGTTTTTCTCTACAAGATTTTAGAAGCCAACCTATAACAGCCCATCTTGGTATAATGTCTGACTGAATAATTTCATTTGAAGGGTGGTGTGCACAACATATGAAGCGAATAATGTCAACTACAAGTGTCTCTCTCTCTTGTCCAAAAAGGAACTTCTTGGCAAACCACACTTGGTATCGCTTCTGATTCCCAAACTTCACATGCATGAGTAGAAACCTCAATTGGGTTTCCATCTCTGGAGTAATTCGAAGCAAAAAATACCGACTAGAAGTCCTAGAGCAGTACAACTGTGAAATATCTGAAAATCCTTCTGTCCTAAATTCACTTGGGTTCAACACCAAATCATTCCATATAGCTCGAAACTCAGGGACATGAACCAGATCACGAAGCAATCTAATAAGGTCCCTCCCAATCTTCATGCACAAATTAAATTGCTCCCTCAACATCTTGACACAAAACTCAATCTCCAATCTTTTCAACGATTCCATCTTAGCATAAGTCGATACCTTACAATGATCAGCTAATACCCGTAGATACACATACAAAGCACTAGTTAAAACAAATGGCGCATCTTCTACTAAACAATCCCATTTGCTTGAAAAAAGGGAGACCAACTCAAAGCACAACCACAAATTCCCATCACTAAAATCCCCACCAACAATCTGCCTCAACAAACACAGTAAGAAACCATCAAATCCCACTCCTAAAACATCAACCATTTCTTTAACAACCCAAACCAATTGATCCTTCACCGAATCAACTAACTTGCCATACAAATCATTAACAATTTTCACAATCAAACTAACAAACAAAGCATACCCATCAGTGACAATAGCATGAAGATGCCTTATATGCGTTTTAGCCAAATGGGGTTCGGTTAAAACCCCATAAAGAATAGCAAGATTGAGTCTGGAATATTCTTGAGGGCTTGGTATTGTTAATGGAAATGGGGGTCTTAGTTTTGGTTCAAGCTCCTCAAAGGCTTGCTTTAGAGAGAGTTCAAGCTCGTTTTTGGCCTCATAGGCAGTGAGTTTAAGCAGCTTTGATGCCATAACTAGCTCTCTAGTACAGTAACATTAAACAACAGAGAAATCAAATTTTGGGCAGGAGATGTTTATGGGGTTTACCTGTTGGCGGTGGAGAGGGGTTTCTAGAAGGTTTCCCTCTGTTGTGATGTTTGAATTTGAAAGTTACAGAGAGAAACTAAAGCAGTGATGGTGTTGAAGGAGACCGCAGTTTGGCGGCTTCGAGGGAGAATAAGAAGACGACTTGACGTTAGGAAACCAGCCTCCTCTCCTCTTAAGTTTTGATCGGGAAGCCTTCAGAGCACGGCGAAACCTCCAAATTAGTTCCCAATACTATAGCTAAGAATCAAATAAGTCCTTAAAATATTTTTCATCTCAATTAGGTCTCTAAAGTAGTTAAATTCTAAATTATCTTTTCTTTCTAAATTCTTCGCTGATTTTAACAGAAGAGGTAAAGGACAGTTAAAAAAGCGATTTCTGTGTGAAATTTTATGGCTGTTTGTGTGAACAATGTATAATGCTGGCTGGAGAAGGAAAAGACGAAGACAAGAAAAGTAGACCACAGGTCAAATCATCTGATTCCGAACCAAAGCTATTACCAAATCCGAAGCACTAAAAATGTAGTTTGCAGATTGATCGATGCATTTTCTATCTGTCTTGATGATGCCCAGAAAACGTCTTTTATGATATCAAACATTCGTATGTTCAACTATAATTGCCTATTGAAGATAAGCCCAGGATAAATTTGATGATCAAGATAGTTTTCTTCTTTTCACGAGTCCCATCGCTCTAAATAATGGCTCTAAAAGAATCGAACTTTCATTTCTTCACCGGAAGGTGCCAGGGCGATGTCAGACCATGAAAACCCATGGTCAAGCCCATGGTGAGATCATCTCCCACATCTTTACTGCTATATCTTCATTTGCTCTCTTCGAAACTACAAAGACGAGTGCTAATACAGCTTTTGGCCATGTATATCAAATTATGGATTGGCAATGGAAATGGCATGGATAAAGTTTACGCCTAAAGAACAGACTACTACTATGAGAGAGGACAAAAAAAAAAGGGAGGCAACCATCAAGGAGCCAGACAACTGTGAAAGTGACAATAACCAAGAAATTTCACAAGGCTAATTGCTGCCAAGCTGTTTCTGAAAGCCATAACATCATAGGAAATTTTATGTTGAAAGAAACAACTAATTGCTACCACAACTTCTATCCATCAGCTCAAAGGCAAGTGAAGGTGAAGCACAGATCCTTGTGAGCAGAACAAAGTTGATTTCTTGATGCTCTGAATAGAACAAATCAATATGATTTCCCACAATGTATCAAGCTCCCAGCACCCAGGAAAAGACCAAAGATGGCAGCACTACCAAGTGTGGTTTGTCCAATGTATCTGATCTTCAAAAGTCCAGGTACCTGAATTTTTCCAAACTAATTAATTAACTGATGAACACTTACAATGGAATACCAAGAAAAATGCATTGACTTCAGTTTAAACTCCTTTAACATAACATATCTAAAACAAGATAATCTGCATAAATAAACAAAAAAATTTTTCAAAATTTGGATAGTATTTTAATAAAAAAAAATAGCAGAAGAGGCAGATGTTCACTAAATGGGCAATGGGTAATCTTTTTGAAGGCATCCAGGACCATATGACACAGCTAGTAACAACCAACGGCCTTTGAGAGTTGTGAGTTTCACACAGTCTACTCCAGAAAGCAAACAGAGACACCCAGAATCCAACCAGTGGGGGCACAAGGAAACAGATCTTTCTAAGCATCTCAGGGGTGATTCAACTCACAGACTCAGCCCAAACAGAAAAATGAGGGTGACAAAAACCAATGCACACCATTATCTTCTGGCTGTTTCTGACCTTCTGTTTTAATTCATATCCATGGCAGGGGATAGAGGGGATGCACATAGTGAAAAGGAACATACAAGCATGAACTTAAGGGAAGCCATGATCATAAAATTTAAGTTCCAAGTTGATGCTCATTGTTCCATCTCTTTATAACTTTACACGTATACTTAAGCATGGAAATTACAAGTTAGAATCCACAATATGCAAAACATTAAGTAACATAAAATACCTCATTCACTTGGACTATAAATCAAAAGAAAAGGAAGACAACAGGGTACATATTCTATTTCAGTAAAGAACAATGAATGGTCAAGAGCAGGCATTTAATAATGTCTCCACACTCTAAAGTGTGAATTTTGGTATCAGGTCAGATGATGTACCTTATACCTTACTGCCTCATATGTTCCATAAACAGCACCTGCACAGAAATCATATATATTACCATATTAGATGGATAGTTGAAGCAAAACAAACTATAGTTTTAACAGTGAACCAAAGATTGAATATATAAGACTGGATTTGTATGAATTGAAACTATCTTACTGGTTTTGTATGAATTGAAACTATCTTATTAAGATTGTCCACTAGACAATGTTTCTTTTTTGCATATCAATGAGAAAATCAATGGTCATGGCTAGATATGATGTGCAAAAGCACACCCCAAGATAGTTAAAGTTCCATTGTGTAAACTGTACAAGCACACGCTTTTAACTTGCATCAAAGAAGTTAAGCTAGAATTTTGAATATTATGTTTTCCACAACCTTGTTCATGTTTCTAGACCACGTTGTTACCTAAGCAGGTAGGTCAATAACCCTACAGTTTTTCTATTTAATGTTTACATTGAGTTGTTGGCTACAAACTTACCTATCACTATGAAACTTAGAGCATGTTTGTTTAAGATGGAAATATGACTTTCACATGTACTACATTATTCTTCTGGTTTTGGACATGTACTTGTCATGGTAAACTTTTGTTCATATATCTATTTTTATTGACATGTGTTTGGCTATGAAATCTCCTATTATGATAAAATTGCATTTTAACGTTCTATTTTCAAGGGACATATATTGGTTATAAAACCTATGTCGATGTATTTTTAAACACATGATTGTCATTGGCTAAGCTGGCAACCTAATGTTCTAAAATTTCATACACAAATAGTTAATTACAATCTAAATAGAAGTAAAAATCCTTTATGTATCCATCAAACAAAAAAATTTATATGTTTAATTTGTGATAAATTATCTTTGGTAATAAATATAATTGATTTTCCTGTATCAATAATCATCTGAACAATTTCCAGTGTTGCTGAAAAATATTTTCTAGCTTATTTTCCATGTCACATCTAGACAAAGTAAAATATTTCATTTCATGAGAAAATGTTTTTGCAGGAAAATATTTGACGCAAAACAAACAGCCCCTTAAGCTACAATCTAGCTGTTTTATTTCTCTCTGCAATCTTCTTAAATTCAGTATGGACTTGTTGCTTCTTTATAAATCTTTCCCCGTACAGTACAATTAACAGACTTCGGTCACCATTCTCTTTAACCAACTCTAGTCCAACTATAATTTTTCCAATTCCATCAAACAAACACTTCTAGAGACCCTGCTATTTTAGTTACCAACAAAGGTTACCAACGCTATTTTAGTTAAACTTCTAAGTTGAAGAACACGGAAGCCTCTCAATTAAGAATCACGAAATCCACCACTATTACGCACCCGGCAATATCATCAAGGGCGTCCCCGTTTTGCAAGCTATTCCGTGACTTCCATTTAATACCTTCTTATAAATGAACCCCATCTGCACATCTCCTGAAATTTCAAGTCTTGATGTGCTAGAACCAGTCTTTTCATTAAAATCACGCCCTTTACAGTACTCCTAAAACCAGTCTACATCTAATGGTACATGATTTCTTTCACCAAAGCATTCCAAAGAATAGTGAAAAAATTGGCATTCAAACATCAACTTTTGCACTCACAATCAAGAAACAGTCCCTCGACCCCTCTTTCCCAAATCAAGGCGTAATACAATGGAAGTCGTAAATTTATAGGACAATTGATTTATGGATTTTGTGTGTTTGTATGAGAAGATAAATCGGTGGACTTTGGAAATTTAAATAACAACAACTTAGGGAGCATTAAAGAACCACGCCCATTAACAAGACGCGCAGGTATTGATAAAAACTAGAACAAGAAGATGTTTTAGGGTTTATGATGAGAGAACTTACCCACGGCGCCACCAATAGCACCTCCAACAGCAACGCCGGCAGTTATACGAGCCAGACAACTATCCCTCGCCATTTCGGGATTGCGAGTGTTTTTTAGTTTATGCAAGAATTTGATTGACCGATGTTTGAAACCTTATCGAGGTTTGTCAAGTTCTATGCAAGCAGTGGTGAGTGGCTTGTTTTTTACGGTCTCTTCTGATTGTAAGTGCTGTGGCGGTTTGAAATTGCGTTACAAACGCTTGTAATAAAAAAAAAATTAAATTTTTTATTTAAAATTAATTTTTATTATATTTTTGGATATATTATAAAAAAAATAATTTTAATATATTCTTAAATAAGAAATATTTTAAAAAATAATTATTATTACATTTTTAAAATATAAGTTGTTTTTCCTTATAATTTTTATTTTATTTATGTGTCTGCTACTTATTTTTATTTTTAGTAATTTTAAGAATTGTTTGAGGCAATTAATTTGCAACGGGTGTTCTTAATCAAGTTTTTTATACGATTTAAAATAATAAACTCAAAATCATTACTTAATTAACACATGATTGTCATGTATTGGGTAAACTTAGAAAACAATTTTAAATTCTGGATCACTGAATTAACAATTTATCATAACGAAATGATTTTTAATCTAAAAATAAATATTTTAATCTAAAAATTTTATAACTTTAGGATAAGTATTTATATTTTTAGATCAGAATTATCTTCACTACTTTTGATAACAAAAATTAATGGGTATAGTATATTTTATAGTTTTAAAACTTGATATAATTTAACAGATTAATTTAAAATTCAAAAGTTGAAATAAACTGAGAAAACAAAAAAAAATTAATATAATCTAGTTAACTAGATAATATAAATGACATAATAAAATCCGTAAAATTTAAAAATTGAAATTAAACCAAGAAAAAAAAAATATATATATATATATAATCTAACTGACCAGATAATATAAATGACATAATAAAATTAGTTTAAAAACTCAGTTATAACTATTAATTTTTATTTTTTTATTAATATAGTATTATTTTAATATTTTTAAAAAACTAATCCAAATAATCCACCAAAACTTATAACCTAGCCTGAGTCTAAATCATAGTCTTCAATTACCGTGATAGTTTTTCCTTAGCTGAAAATTGTACCTGTTTTATTTTATTTTATTTTTTAAAAAAAACAAAAACTATTTATTTGAAGAGAATTCTCAGAACAGAAGTTAATTCCGTTGCCGGGAATCGAACCCGGGTCTCCTGGGTGAAAGCCAGATATCCTAACCGCTGGACGACAACGGATTTATTGAAGGTGTCTCCCTTGATAAATATATAATGTTATTGAGAAACAGATTCTCGCAGACACTGCGTTTCTCACCAATTAGTTCGGCTATCTCTGTGATTCTACTAGTAAGCACGCAAGTGCTCCTCCGATTAGTCGGAAATTGGTAAACAATGATCATTACGTAATGGATCAAATATGATGTAAGGAGCATTCTAAAAACTCGATGCACGTTAAAGACGGTTGCTTTAGATCACAACCAATTGCAGGGCAAAGTACCAAGCTCGTTAGCCCAAGGCTAGAGTTTCTAGATCTTGGAAGCAATCAGATCAATGGTATTTTTCTAGATCTGAAGCTTCTCATCTGGAGATCTAGCCCGTTTCGTGGCGTAGTAATGGAGTTTGAGTTTCAGAAGCTGCACAATATTCACCTTTCTCGAAATGCTTTCTCTACCCAGTTAAGTCACCACTTCCCCGACTGGATTGAAATGAAGACATCAGCCTTGTTGAAGGCTTCATCATCAGCAGAGGTTTGACAACCTCATCACATTCCTCAAGTCATCGGGAGCTTCAACATTCCCAGGGGTAAGATTCCATCGATCTTATGCAGCTTGAATCGTTGGATCTTTCTCAAAACAATCTCTCAAGAGAGATTACTCAACAACTGCTGCAACGTAATAATTTTCTTGCTATCTTCAACGTGTCTCACAACCATCTTACCGAACCCATTCCACGAGGGAAGCAGTTTGACACATTTCTGAACGATTCATAAGAACATTTTTTTATGCGGACCTAATATAACAAGACATAATTATTTTTTTCTAATCATTTGTAAACTTAAAAACACTACAAACACTGCATGATTTCTTTTTATACAAAGAAAAACATATGATAATATAAAATTTACGACAGATAAGTAATGTAAAAACTTACAAAATTTAGTTTTTTTGTAGAATTATACTGTTATTGTGCTAAAGCCAACAGTAAACTCCACTGTCTAGGATTAGGATTATACATTGACATACATCTTAAATATGCTCCAGTTATTGATTCAATTTTTTTTATTGTTCATCTGATTGTGAATGATAAGCTGAACAATTTCACTCTTACAATTGAATAATTATTTCCAGAACAAACTAATAAACAATTTTCTCTGTCGGTCGCAATGGACTATGGAACTTATAAAAGTGAATAAAAAACACCTAAACTACTGTTGTTTTTGCAGTGAAAGATATGACAAGGCAATGAAATAGCTATACTTGTTAAATCTATCCAGAATAACCAATTTGATATCTATATCTTTCCGAAGACTTTCCACAAAGTCATTGTAATATCCCTTTAAATCCCACTTGGTACTGGCAATGGGCTACCCTCTCCATTTTAGCTTGTTTATGGACATCACTACTGTTTCACTATTTTCTTCATTGAAAGCCAGCAAAACATTGACTACTTGTTAGTTTGCAGCGACAGCACCAAACCACAAGATCAGTGGACAAAAGGTAGCCTCTTTTTTTTCCAGTGTTGGTGTGAGAAATAGGCTGTTAACAGCATTTTGCATTTCTGAATTTGTCTCCAATGAACAAACGTGAAGCCCAACAGATCAAGCAACTCCTACCAATCCCAATTCCTAAGGCTACCAATGGATGATTCAAGGTTCCACAAGAGGATGGAAGTTGGATCGTGAACATTAAAACAAGACTTTCCAGGATTTCTGTTTCATTTTTCCAAAGAATGATGAGTCATGCTATGGGAGACAGCGAATTTTCCAATCTTCTTTTCAAATACACGAGGTAAAAACTGGACTTGATATAGTTTTTGTCATGGACAGGTGCTAAGGGAGAATCTGCAACAGCTTGCATGGGAGCTTGGATCAATTTGAAAATGGGCATAATGGCGGTTTCTGCGACTTCCAAGATTAAACAATCTGCTCCGTTCCATATTCAATCACATGAAGTCAAGGAGTAATGCCAGGAGGGCAATCTTAAGGAAGCATGAGCAAGCCCCTAGAAATGAATTTTTGAATGGAGCGCAGACGCTGAAGCTTTTGTGAAGATGAACGCAGATGCAACCATCTTTGGCCTCGATGGAAATGGGGTGATATCTAGGACTCAATGATGATTGCATATCAGAAAATCAACACCAGGCATGATGTATATAGATGGCTGGGGTAAATGTAGTATTCTATAAGGCAATTCTAGTGCAGCAACCAAGGTGATTTTGCAGCGATTCTGAGTGAAAGATAGTCTGCAAGAGGCCAAGGAAGCATCTAATTTATGAGGTTAAGAAAGACCCGTGCTCTTTTGATCAAGTTGAGGTCCGTGTAAAATTCAAGTTGATTATGCAGCTCACTCTTTACCTCAGAGAATAGAGTATTGTCATAGTGTTTTGGTTACTGTCGTCATGAGATTGAAGAAATAAAAACAGTAGAGATATTAATATATCCTGTTGAAGACACATAGAAATAAAAATAAATTGGTTTTGAGATAATTTCAAAGTAAATTTTTATAACTTTAAAATGTAAGGTATAAAAGAGAAATGTCTCTATAAATAATATTTATAATATTTTATTTTTAAAATATTCTAATAAAAAAATTTTAATTTTAAAATTATATAACCAAGACATGTAATAATAAAAATAGATATTGTCGTAATTTTAAAACTCAATTTAAAAATCATTTCGGGATAAAGTCCAAGTTACGAGTCAAGTTGACTCAAGTCACTGTAAAAATAAAAATTGTTATTATTATAATTTTAAAACTTAGTTCAGAAATTGATTTAATGCAAAGCACAAGTCATGAATGGGATTGATTGTTGATCTAAATCAATATAAAAATAAAAATGATTATCATCAAAATTTTAAAACCTGACTAAGTGGTACACTTGGGGTAAGGATTAAGTCATATTAAAGATAATCAACGTGGGTTAACTTGAGTCAACATAAAATTAAAATGATTATTATGATAGTTTTAAAAATTAATTCAGAGATTAACTTGAAATAAGATCAGGGTTATAAATCAAAATGGTCAACTCAAGTTAACTTGTGTTAATGAAAAAATAAAAGTTATTATTATTATAGCTTTAAAATTGACTTAGAGGTCAATTAGGTAAAGAACCAGGTGATGGCCGGGAGGATCAACATGAGTTGACTCAAGTCAATGTATAGATACAAGTGATTATTATTATAGTTTTAAAATCCAACACAGGAGTTAACCCAAGTTAAGGTTCAAATCACGTGTTAGGAGGGTCAACATGATTGATTCAAAGTTTTTTTTTTTTCTAAATAACCAAAGAGACCTTGTTTTGATAAATAACCAAAGAAACCTTGTTTTGACCAATATGAAAAGAAAAAAAAATCAATTGGTTTTTGACATGTATTTTATCCTGAGTTGACTTGGGTTTTTGACTGGGTTAAATCAAGTTAATCATTCTTTTATTTTTTTCTTAAACTTGAATAAGCTTAGACTCCGAGTCAACTCATCAAGTCAATTTTGGTTTTATAACTAAGGTTATTATTGTATTATTAATTTCTACAGCAATATAAATTAAATAAAAAATATCTAATTAATTTTTAAAATATTTGAGTTTAACGATACATATCAAGGATAAAATAATTTTTTTCATATTTTATTATATCATGTCCACCATAACTAAACATAATAAAAAATTAATCAATTTGTCTTATACTCACTATTAAACACAATTATATCTTTGTTCCTTTAAGTGGGGTTGATTGTTGATCCAGGGCAAGACATCGATAATGAGTGGGGTTAATTGTTGATCTAGATCAACATGAAGATAAAAATAATTATCATCAAAGTTTTAAAACCTGACTCAATGGTACACTTGATGTAAGGCTCAAATCATATATTAAGATGATCAACGTAGGTTAGTCGAGTCAATATAAAATTAAAATGATTATTATAATAATTTTAAAACTTAATTCAGAGGTCAACTCGACGTAATATCAGAGTGATAGATCAAAATGGTCAATTCAGGTTGACCTAAATTAATAAAAAGATAAAAGTTATTATTATTATAGTTTTAAAACCTGACTTAGAGGTCGATCAGGCAAAAAACCAAGTGATGGCTGAAGGGTCAACACGAGTTGACTGAAGTCAATATATAGATAAAAATAATTATTATCATAGTTTTAAAATCCAACTTTGAAGTTAACCCAAGGTAAGGTACAAGTCACATGTCAAAAAGGTGAATCCAATTGGTCCAAAAATTTTTTAAAAAGTAATCAAAGCAACCTGTTTTGACTAATTTTTTTAAAAGAAATTGACTGGTTTTTGACCTGTATTTTATCCTGAGTTAGCTTGGGTTTTTGACCAGATCAAATTGAGTCAATTATTTTTTTATTTTTTCTTAAACTCGAATCAATTTAGGCCCTGACTTCACTTGTCAAGTCAATTATGGTTTTATGACTAAGGTTATTATGGTATTATTAATTTCTACAACAATATAAACTAAATAAAAAATATCTAATTAATTTTTAAAATATTTAAGTTTAACTATATATATCAAGAATAAAATATATTTTTTTATTTTATCCATTATAGCCAAACATGATAAAAAAAAATAATCATTTTATCTTGTACTGTTAAACACAATTATATCTTTAAACCTTATATCTTTTCTTTTCTTTGCTATATCTATTGTCTTCATCTTTTCTTTTCTTTTTTGGTTATATCACAACAACCAAATGCTTACTTACAGTTATGTCTTTGTGTTGAAAGCTCCTCAACTTATGGAGCTTGTTATTAAACCACGTACTGTCTTGGTTAGAACATCAAATTCTAGTTCTCTTGATTAAAAATATAGAAAGAGGAAAAGAAACTCCACTGCAATCTCCATTTATTGCCACCAAAGATGGCTAACGGCATTTCTGGGATAATTGGTGGTCTTCAGATGGACTCGTAACTAATCCATGACCTCAACCTTAATTTTCAGTTACATCTGGGACATGACTTGACAAAAAGCGCGATGGCCAATAGTTTCTGACAATGTCCGAGTATGTAGATTCTGACAATACTACTCTTTTAAAGTAAGGTTTTTTTAATAAAAATTAACACTAAATTTAAAATTTTAGCAAAAATATTACTTTTTGAAAAAGATCTGGTAAAATATGTATTTTTACCTTTTCGTGTTCTAAAATGTTATTATATTTACTAAAAATTTATCTTTTTGAGTATAGATTCAAGACAAAAGCTAAATCCATTGCATGAGCTTCCATTGCCTGCATTTATTTCCTACCCATCCTCAGTTCCTTACTGACCAGTACATTTAATGGAAGAGATGGTTGTCTGCCATTCACATTAGATATGATATCACTGGATACATCATTCCCTCTATCCACGGATTTAATTGATTGAATTGCTTCAGCCGAAGGAAAGAGTCGGGGAACTCGGGGCAAGATGGGTTCATCTAGCTGGTCTCTCGATCCAGACCAATAAGGAGGTGAGTGACCCCTTTCTCTCAATCTGGCACATGATGTCAGCTGCTATGAATTTATTTCAGGGTTTTCCTCTATGGATTGACTCAAAAGTAAAGAAGAGGCTTAGCCTTGTAGAAGCGAAGAGAAGAGCTATGAATAGAGCAAGGTGACTAAAACGAGTTCAAACAAAGAGCAGGATGACATGTATAATTCTAAGTTGAATTGAAGGTGGAAATTATGACGCAGGAGAAGTTTGTTTGGGAAATTGAATACCTGTTTTATAGCTACAGGTCTGTCTCCATGTAGAAGTCAACCTACCAAGGAGTAGTAAAAGATGTGGTGGTAGGTGGTGGACATGCGTGGCCATGGTAATCAAGTGCAAATACATACCAAGTTCTGTCGCGATTTTAAACCACAATATCAATACTTTTTGCTTCTATATTATTTTGAGTTTATGACCTAATTTCCCAATTTATCCTTAAGAGTGAAGCATCCGGATGATAAAGTCGAATAAAAAATCACAAGAGGATAAGCGTACCCAGAAACTCAAATTGAGGATGCAATACCAATAATTTAATCAATTTCGTTTGCAATACATTTGAGACTTACAGTAAATCATGATGATCTTAGAAGCTAGAACAAAATAAGGCAACTGGAAGTGGCATTCGATTATGAATGTACACGGCATGGCATCTGCTTTCAACAAGCCTGAGATGAATTTATGAACCGGATAAAAGAAAACTTCTGTAGCGCGTTCTCTTGTGAATTTACATGGCATCTGATATTTTCTTGAACATGAGCAGCAACCTACTAGGAATTTACATTTCTCACCCTCAAATCCCCACACAACGTACATATAGGGAAAAAATTAGAAACCATGAAAAAAATCAATACAAGGTGAAAAAAAGATTATGAAGGGTAAAAAAGAAGACAATCAAACTTTTCTAGAGCTATCTCGCCGACACCAATCCTCGCTACTTGCTTTTCTAAACTCATTAGAAGGATGGAAGCAAAACTAATTAGTGTGGAGATGCCCATCCTTAAAGTGGAGCTCAAAACTGGAAAACAATCTAGGTTCCATCTACAGAGATTGTTTCTGCATGCTAATGAGCCAAATCCTCACTCCCAACACCAACACTTGACTTGTCAATCATACGGAGATTGTACTGTTCATATACTCTTGCCCTATTTTCTGCCCACCATTGGTCTGCTTGTTTCTCACTGAACCTCTTTCGACTGCATTTATAAACTTGATCGAAATTTAAAATTGCACCACTGGAACCAGTGACCACATTCATTTCTAGAACTCATTTACGATGGCACAAATTACTGGCAACTATATAGTTACAATTTTCAACGAAAAAAAAAAAAAAGAAGAAACATTTGGATTTGTTTCGTGGCATATGCAAGAAAAAAAAATTCAAGGTTGATAGGACCAAAACTTTCTTTGACAAGCTTTCTTCCCATCACAAACTCTATCCTTATGAAGAAACCTTTGGATTTGTTCCGTGGCATATGCAAGAAAAAAAATTCAAGGTTGATAGGACCAAAACTTTCTTTGACAAGCTTTCTTTCCATCACAACCTCTATCCTTAACTCAATCACGGAAAGAGACTGCTTTCAAAGTCGTGTTCAAATCAAAGGCAGAAGCCAGGAATGCAAACACACAAAAACAAGAGCCTGCTTCATGGCAAAGTTAAAAGGAAACAGAGACACATGGGCAATATGCTATTAGAAGCGTGAGCCTGGTAATGCAACCACTGACTATACAATCTAATTGACCAGAGAAATGTGGATATCATTTGGATAGCCAAACTGGCTTGAAAACAACGCACCTGAAGCGCACTCGCTTAAGATCCTTGATGCCTCCAGGTAGGGAGGTTAGTGTTATATATACACCGGGCTCATCTTGCTCAACCCATTCAGCTTCATGACGCAATTCACCTTCTTTGTTTCTGCTTCCATTTTTAATTGTTGCTTCCAAGTGGCCTTGATTGTTGTGACCTGCACCGCGGTTACTGGTGGTGCTTGAAACATTAGAAAGCAACTGGCCATGCAATCCATTTGTGTCTGATTCTTGGCATGTGATTTGACCATTCAAACAGTCAATAGTAGAAACATCGTTGGAAGTAGGACTGGAGCCAAATGAAGCAAACAAAGGTGATTTGATGCTCCGGGCTGCTCCCACAGGTAGCCTTTCAGCCATGTCTTTTAACTATTAAGTATATGAAAAAAATCAATCATTAGCAAATGATGCATCATTAATATAGAGTTGCAATTGGGTTGATTAGCAGCTATCCAACTGAGCATTGCTTCTTGTTTGCATGCGCACCAGACAATTTTTACATGCTACTTAAGATAAAGCAAAGCACGCAAATATTTGATCTTCAAATTGATATTTTCAAGACAGAATTTATCTGCATTTTCAGGAGTTCAAAGTTGAGTTCCATGACCTTCTATAAAGAAAGGTTGGATTACTACAACTAGGACGTGAGAAAACCTGATTGCAAAAAGAACACAAAAAAAAGAAAAACATGGAGAACATTAACCAAGAAAAAGACAATCTAGGTATGTTGAGGCAATCCATAATCAATCATTCTAATGAAGATGAAATCAATCTTACTTGAGCAGTAAGTGACTTGATCACTTCTTTTGCTGCTTTGCATTTAGCAGTCTCTTCTCCAGCAATGGCTAATGCTTCATTCAGCTCTTTGGTAATTCTTTCCAGCTGAACTTCTTGAAGCTGGGTTTTGTTAGTAAGATTTTCCACCTGAGAGACCAATTTGATAAGGAATAATAATGAACAAGTAAAACAACCAAATCAAGTGAAAATACTGAAATACCAGGGGTTTAGATCTCAGGTTCTCTTAGGCTGAAATGCCAAACAATCATAATTAGACAAATGTTAAAAATTTAACAACTGATAGTATAGTCATGATGGAAACTGCCAAGTCAATCCCTGCCATGCCTGTCACATGAATGACAATAAACTAATCTGTGATTACACAATACATTTCCTTTTGAAATCAAATGGTAGTTGGTAGCCAGAAACATGGACTGATCAACATCAGAGACCACTTATAAAGGCAGATAGCTGCAGTAAAATCAATAACACAAGCATCACAGGCTACCTGTTTGTCTTTGATGGCCTTCACCATTGGTAAAGAATATGGCCAAGTTATGAACAGCACAATGGCATGAGGTTGGATGAAGATTTGTGTTTCAGCAGAACAGAGCCAAGCAGAAAATAGATGCAGTAGACAGAGTGTGCTTAACTAGAAAACTTGTGCCAGTTTGATGATTCCATACAATAGCGATTGAGAAATATATAAAACTAAAACATGCAGTTCTGTGTCATTTACAGTATCTCATACATATGGTTAGCACTGAACATAAATAAAAAGGATATATTGAAACCAATTCCCTTTGTCATCTGTCTGTTCATACACTTTCCGAATTCTTTGCCAAAATTGCCAGGGAAAAGAGAAGAAAGTAGTGACAGAAAGGAAGGAAAATATATACCTGTGCTCTTAATTTAAGAACCTCTTGGCTAAGGCTCTCGTTTGTTCTCTTAGCATCATCCATGACAATTTTTGGTGAGGTAAGTCCACCCAGGGTTGGGGTTGGCGTTGTTGATCGAGGGGGGCTAGGTCGTCTTGATATTGGTGATGTTGCTCGAGAAATAATTCTTGATCCAGGAACAGAAGCAGAAAAAAACTTCTTGGATGAAGCAAACATTGGGTTGAAAGATTTAGAAATATTAAACGCTCCCCACTGGGAGCCTCCATTTGGAACAGGTGAAACCCTGCTACTATTGAATTCAAGTTTTTTGTTTCTCTTAGACCGACTTTCTGCTTGCTTCAAGGATTCCATTGATGAAAATCTAGCAAGTTGTGCACGAGATCTGGTGTCCAACTTCTCATCTTTATCAATAAACTCGCCTGGCCCTTGATTGACACTGCCTCTCCTACTCACAAAAGACTGAGAAGCATCAGTCTCAATTGCTTTTCTTAGTTTGTTATAGCAATTATCACAGACACGATAAGCTTTGTTTGGATTTGGTGCCATTGAAGCCTTGAGAGACTTCTTGCTGCTGCATGAATGACAATAAACAAGTCCACAATTATAACAATTATGCCGCTTCCTTGCGAAATTAAGTGGTAGGCGGCAGCCAGAACACATAGACTGATCAACACCAGAAACCCATTTATGAAGGCAGATAGCTGCAGTGAAATTAGTACCACAAGCAATACTCTTTACTTGTTTGTCTTTTAGGGCTTCCACTAAAGATGGCAAATTTTTATCATCTGTATCCCCATGACCGAGTCTTCCATTTGCTCCCTTGCCCCAGGTGTAAACTTCAGTTTTTGAAGTTAAAACTGCAACATGATAAGCACCACAAGCAATCTCCTCAACAGAACTCCTGGAGAGTTTTCCTTCAACACGAGCTGGGAGCTTTCCATCAGATTGTGGGTTACCCAACTGACCATAAACAGGACTGCCCATTGTGTACACATGACCAGATGTTGTTCGTGCAATTGTCAGACTATGTCCACATGCAACTTGGCAAAAATTGGGGTCAACAAGAGCAGCAACACATGTAGGAACCAACTTTGCTTCCTTGTCACCATGCCCAAGTCGTCCTTTATCTCCATCGCCCCAGGTAAACAGTTTCCCTGAAGAGCAATTGCTGGAACTTGAATTTCCAACCATGACTTCTACAACTGCAGCAGTATGCCAAACACCACAGGCAGCCTGAACAGTGCGGAGCCCCTTAAGAGATTCCACTTCCCTTGGTAATGAAATGCTTTTTCGATCTCCATGACCCAGAACACCAAACGTGCCATCACCAAAAGTAAACAGTTGCCCAGCAGAGCTCACAACTGCTGTATGCCAGGGTCCACAAGAGATGGATGACACATGTATGCCTTCCAAGGGCCCACTCACTCTTTTTGGGACCCAGTGACTTACTTCATTTCCATGTCCAAGAAGACCAAAATTATATGTTCCATCACCCCATGTGTACAGATCACCAGAAAGTGTGACAGCACATGTATGGTACTCCCCACATGCTACGAACTCAATATTTGTATTATTGAGGAACTCAATAAGCTGGGGATGCAAAACATCAGAGTCCACACCGTGCCCAAGCCTGCCGCCAGATTCCTCACCCCATGAGAAAATCTCTCCTTGCTTGGTCACTAAGGCTGCATGTTGTCCACCACAGGCAATGTTCTGGACATCAAGTACGACTGCAGATTCCAGGGCTTTAGGCAACAAAGAATCCATTTTTACACCAAAAAAACTTCCAACTCTATGAGTTCCACCACCACCTAGTACACCATCCCCCGTCCCTTCACCCCAAATGAAAACATCCCCCAACGCCTCACCATCATCATGACCAGAACCTTGGCTTGATGAGCTAACAGCACTTGATAGGCTAACTCTAAAAGCATCCATTGCCACTGCCTTCATATGACCATGTACACTGTCCGAGCCAGATGATAAAGAATGTACAGAACCACTAGCAGAGTCTGAGGGGAAAAAACTTTTTGGAGGAACAGCATATAATACCACATCTGAAAATGTTTTATCCAAACCATTCTTGGGGGGACTTTCATATGGACTATGAATGCGAAGGTGGTCTGCGTCCTGAATTGAAGGTAAGGAAAATCCCTTAAATCATCAACCAATGGACAGGGGGAAGACATAAAGTAGAGAACTGTACCTTCTGCAAACTGTCATTGCTACTAAATGGAGAATTCAAGGGAGAGCTTCTGCGAGTATAAGTCCTAGGGCTGTTAACCTCAGACAGAATTCCATCACTCCTCGATTCTGTTCTCCATTTTTGGGGACAACTGCGTGAAATTAATGCTTTTAAACCATGAAACCATGCCTCAGCTTCATCTTTATCCTTGCAAATCTGGTAAGAAAGATCAGATCATCAGATACTAAAAAGTTTTTTACAACTGTTCCTACCTGGTATGACAGGGAGGTCACGGAAACAATGAAAAGGATGAATAGAAATAGAAATTAACTCCTAAATAGAAGAGAATTACTACAGCTAACGAACTCTTACCAAATCCAGTGACCTATCATTATAGATGAGAGAAAATGACTGATACTCCTTCTCAGGGCGTGGATACCTTTGAAAGATTGGCTGGAAAAATTGGACTGTAAATCAGAACAAAACAAAATGAAGAATCCTTTGATGGATTCATAATGGGACATGTGAGATTTGCAAACAATCTATTCTGACACAAACAATTGCATGGAAATAAAATTTGAAGAAGGGATTGTCATGATACTGCAACAGATGATCCTAGTTGAAAAGCATCCTGATAGCCGAATGGCTGTGTTGCACTCAGTGGGGAAAAAGTTAGCAAGGAGAATACTTAATCTGGCCACTAGTTTGGAAAACAAAGCGAACAGGGTTTTGTCTCTGGGGCAATGGCAAATATCCTGAACCATTAAGTGCATGCCTTAACCTTGGGAAACTAATTTCAGGTAGATAAACTGGAAGTTGGGACCAACTAAATATCATGCACAATGAGACTCCATTTTATTTGGACCAGCACTAGGTAGTGGCCTTTTATGGACAAATTAATAAACAAAAAAGATTACACTGAATGAGCATTTTTTGATGTGGATTTAAGATGTGAGAGTTTAATATTGGAGAACTATAGCCAGCTCTATGCCAACCTAGATAAGTTGCTGGCATCAAGTAATACTGTATTTGGAAAGTTTCCTTAAACACGCTAATAATGCTCTAATTAAGCCAAAGGGGTTTAAAAAGAAGAAAAGAGAGGACGGCAGGGGAAGCAACAATAGATTCACAGGTAGCTATAAAACTTATAACAAGATGTCAGCATGTAGCTGCAGTCTACTAACAAAGTCAAATTCTAGGTAGAGTAGCTAAGTAAACCACAAAACTTTCATCGCAGAAACTTACTGTGCGCTGCCCAGATATGATTTTAGATACATCGCTTAGTTTGAGAAGTTTCTTCTCTTTCCCAGAGAACCATATTAAAACAGATTCATCCTGAAAACAATGCAAATTCAACCATTTAGAATTTCAAGTAAGAAGAATATAATTTAAAAATAAGATTATAATGACTGATATGAAGTAAACATGCTTGGTTGCAACGTAAATGAAAAACAAACAAACAAAGAAAAGATTAAATTGTTGAAGACAAAGATGCACCAGCACTTTACAAGAAAACCTAATCTCCTACCCAACTGGGCCAATATCATAATAAATTAACTTATATAACATAAATCATTGCATGAACAAAATCCATGGTACTTAAATTTGTTGTCATAAGAGCAAAAGTTGGATGGGAGAAGTGCATGTATAACTTGACCCCGTTCAATTTGAACACAAAACTAACAGACAAATATCAGTAAAACCAGGACCAAACTTACATTGGAAAGACGAAAGGGACAGAACTTTGGCTTTCCCCTTCTTCCATACTTGAGCAGGTAAGCCCCTTTCTTTAAAGCTGTGATGGCCTGTTGTAAAGATCATTCAAGAACTTAACTTAAGCACATTCAGCACGTTTGCTGCTAGCATATTCTTAAGCATAATAATACTAGCAGAACGCTAAATGAAAGTGAAATGGTAAATGTCATATTCAAATGGCCAAGAAAATTCAAAGAGATTTGTACAGATTTCAATGAGGTTGGTGGAGAGAAAATGAACTGAAAGTCTGACAAAAATGCACTTCACAGTCCTTTCAGGTTGGGGGGGAGACTAAAAGCACAGCAAACAATCTGGCAAGATCTCAAATCTAAGTCTTAGTGTAAAAACCCATTTTGCAAGAGATCCTATTTAACTAGTGTGCCTTCTCAATCAATATAAAAACACCACCAGACATTCAGGATATGAGTATTTTTATTGCCTTTACTGCCTGAATAAAGATGATTAACATATTTGACCCCCAACCTGGATTACTCTCCTTTAAGATATATTTCCATTTCACATTTAACTTGATCAAATCTATCATTCCAGAAACAGAAGTTACAAAGGGACCAAGGATTGGACTGCAGATGGAAAATTCAATATTTTCCCTTCAATGTTGACAAATCATAACTTCTGATAAATGCCCTCATAATTTACTTTGATTTTTTCCTATTTCCAACACCCATACATTTCTTAAATTCCTACTCACTACCACCGATACCTTGCACTGTCTTCTTTCATTCAAGTGGAAATCTAGAGTGACAACAACTATCCAGAGAACAGTTGTTTAACCATCCAGAGAACAGTTGTTTAACCATACAGATTCTAAACTATTTCCTCAGCACTAGCAGAGCCATTTAGAATCAAATAATAAAGCAGACAATCCTTATCTAACCATGACCCAGAAATTGTCAACACCCAACCTCTCATAACAACCGCATAGAATCAGCATTTCATTTAATCCCGCGAAAAAATCTGTCGAACAATAAATTTTCATAAATTTTCCTTAGTCATCTAAATTAAATGAACTAAACTATAACATTAAAAAAAAAGTGAAAAAAATTAACACAAAAAAGAAAAGAAAAGAAAAATACCTGCTCGTTGTCTCTTTCAACAGGTCCAGTTCTACTAAGATCCGAAGCCATTCTATCAGTCCTTAACATTAAATCCCCAACAGTAAAAATAATCCAAAAATAAAATTAAAAAAGAAAGAAAGAATCTACTCTTTCAGATTAACCATTCTCGAAAAAACCAAACCCTTCCATCCAATTCAATTCAAAACCCTAAGAACAGCAGAAATCCATACTCTCAGCCAGCTCTGCTCGACCATCAAGATCATTCACTCGGCTTCAAAACTCATGAAACTTGTCACTTCACAGTAACTTCAATTTGAAGTTAATAGTAGCAATAATGAAGTGAATACTGAAAACCGAACTTATAAAAAATGGGGGAGGGGGGGTTTCTTTACTATATTGTTTGATCTGATTATTGAGGTTTCTTTCTGTAGGCAAAAGGGAGCGATAAACCAGAGCTTCCAGCTTCTTCTTCTTTTTCTCTAAGAGTGGAGCAGTGTTTTTCTTTTCTTTTTATTTTATGAAGCTCAAGAAGAGAGAGTTGAGAGAATAAAGAAATGGCAAGAAAAGAAGAAAGAGTGGGGTAGGATAATTCTTTTCTATGCTGTTATACGCCCTCAAATTTAATTTGACAGTTGTTTTAGTTTTATTTTGCTAATTGCTGGTAGTTATTATATTGATTAATTACTTCTTCTTCTTCTTCTGTTTGGTCGCTGAGAAAGTAAAAACTCAATTCTGTTGACTAAAAAGGTGACCAGGAGAAAGCAGAATTCTTACTGTAGCGTTTCTTTACTCAACTTGAGATAGCAAGTGATCTGGATCTATCCAAACAAGGGCGGGTATTTCTAAATCTTAATGGAAACGGAGGTGGGAGAAAAAAAAAGATTGGTAAGGGTATTCATTAAAAAAAATTAGAAAAATATTAAAATAATATTTATTTTATTTTTTAAAATTTATTTTTTTATATCAACATATCAAAATATTTAAAAATATTTAAAAAATCAATTTAAAATAAAAAAATTTAAAATTATAAAAAAAATATGTGTAAACTCTTTCCTAAACACCCTCTAAATCATGTATGGATAAAAATACTTGTAAAGAAAAATATGTGTAAACTTTTTCCTAAACACTCTCTAAATCATGTATGGATAAAAATACTTGTATTTATTTTTAGGTTCAAAAGGATTTTTAGATTTTTTAATTTTTAATTTTTAATTAATTATTTTATAATTTTAAATCGTTTTTATATACTGGTGTAAAAATAAATTAAAAATATTATTTTAACATATTTTCAAAATAAATTTTAAAAAATAACTATTATTGGAATATAAAACACTAATATTTTTTTTTTTGGTAGAGTTTTATAGCCGATTTGATAAACATTAATAATAGAAAATCTAAAAAAAAAAGTATTTATTATTGATTTTCTTTCATTGTTTGCAAATATAAAATGTTTTTATTTTTTTGTATTTTCAGAAGCAATATTACAAATATTTCTTATTTCTTATTTTACAGGACTAACTATTTTGAATAATCTATTTTATATTTGAAGGTTGAAGAATATTTGAAAACACCATTATTATTATTATTATTATTATTATGTCTAATTAGAAATTGAAAATATATCTTATTATCGAGTCATTATATGAGCTGGATGGAGAACCATTCAATTCAATTAGTGGTCTAAAAGATGTTGTTGTCTATCCCAAAAAAAATGGAAGCTTCTATTCTCCGATGAAGGAAGGTTAAAAGTAAAACTAAATTCACGGTGGTGAAGGTGCATCCTCCGCTTCAGTAAAATTCCGTTGACGTCCCTATGGTCTGTTTCTCCGGTGGAGGAACGGTGGTCTTTGCGAACTGAATTCTTTTTTTCTTTTTTTTCCGGTCAGAGTATGTTTCTGTTTGTTTTCAAATCAAAGCGGAGGAGACTGAGAATTAAGACTTGAATAAGCAATTGTTCTCTCTAGCCATTGACTTCAAAACCAAACAATTAGATGAACCCAGAGACCAAAGCACGTGGCATTAATCCACTGCTTGAATGGACGTCAAACCTTCTTCTTCTTTTTTCTTCGCTACGTGAAAATCCATGGACCTCAGTCACAGATGACTGAAAAGGGTGTTCTTGCTACAAGTGTCTTCAAATTGACGATTTAGGTTAATCAGGCACATCAAGAATGGACTTTAGCAACAATCTGACTATGTTCACACCAAATTCCTGGTACAGATCCAAGCTTTCTGACATTATTCCGAAAGGTAACAGATGGGGTGATCTGAGAATGCAAAGATGACACAACTCAACTTGGATTTTGACGTTAAAAAAATGATAACAGATGAATCAAATAAAATATTTAATAATAATTAACTATAAAAATCCAGCCAATAATATTATAATTGAAAGAAATAGAAAGAAAAATTCGTGAAGACTCCTTATCATTCCTCTCTAGACATCGCTCCACCACAAAAAAAAAAACTATCAAGATGTTTCATGCCCCACTAGAAAAAGCTATAACAAGACATTGAAAAAAATCGCACATGTTATTATAACAATAATTTAAAAGGCAAACCAAATAAGACATCGACATGAGGATTTTGTATTTATATTTAATTACCTTATTTTATTTAACAAAAATAATAAATAAAAAACCCGAAATAAACCATTAAACAAAGAAAAAAAATAAAACAAAGAATGTAAAAAGCATATAAAAAAATAATATAATTTAATCTCTAATTAAATAAATATTTGAGCATGCAATCGAAACAACATGAGATTAAAAATAAAAGACACAAAGACCCAAGCGAACTTGGGCGAATCTTGAAGTTGGGTAAATCTTCTAAGCTTATAACCCATGAAATACTAAATTTAAACTCAATGAAGAAGTTAAATTTCAAGTCAATTTAATGTTAAAAAATAAAATAGAAAAAAAATTAATTTTAAAAGTTGTAAAAACAAAAAAAAAAAAGATAGCACCTAAAAGAATAAGGATAAAATTTGATAGGAAAAAAACTTGAAGAATGATGAAATCTATACAAAAATCAATCTTAGAAATTATCTTAAGTTAAACAAATGAAATTAAAAAAAACAGGGATAAGATATGAATAAAAAAAAGAATAGGGATGAAATTAAAAAAGAATTCCAATTTTATAAGCTATTTAAAACAAAATAAATAATGATTGACAAAAAATAAAGAACAAAGTTCCAGGGATAATTTGTAAAACTAAAGGATAAAGCACAAAAATCAATAAGAAAAATAGAGGAAAGAAAAGGATAAAAAAAAGATAAAAAGGATTATTGATGCTACACTAGAGCTTTATTAACAATATTCATTATAAAAAATGAATGAAAAGGAGGTCAAGAAGAATCAAATATCACCTAAGAATCCTATTTATCACCATTGGAGTCAACCATCTTGCTATTTAGAGATGACTAGGTAACTAATATATGCATTACATGTTTTAACTATTTTTTAAAATATTTTATATATATTAAACTACTGAATTGTCCTTAACTCAAATTGATAATAATATAAAAATCAATTGTGCAATTATAAAATTACACTCATCTCCAAGGCTTTCAAGTTTTAATTATAAGAGCAATTAGATATTTTTATTATGCATTTAATTATCAAAAAACAATAAAAACCCCTAATAGTTGATTACTTTTTTTTAATCCAAAAGCAAATATGTTATATTGTACATTGAAAAGAAAAATGACAAAAAAATACCTTTCATGTTAGCTTATAATTTTTTACTTTTAAGGTTATAGTTGTAATATTACTATACATAAAAGATGAGAAAGTCCGATTATACGTTATCAACTTTAAAATGCCTAAATGGACCTTGTACGAAGACTTATTTTTTATATATATTTTATATATGATCAACATTAGCATATGAGTTCTTCTTTTTTGTTAAGAGAAAAATAATAATATCACTAATTCTTATTCACAATATATTTTATTAAGAGTTACGATATTTTTATTATAGTTATAAAACTCAATCCAATGATCAACTCAATAAAATGACCTGGTCATGGATCAGGTTGATCAACTTAGGTCAAAAACTAAGGCAAATATTTATATGGTTGTTTTACCATAAAATTTAGCTAGTATGGAAGAAAATATTACATTAACACATATGTTAGCATAATTAATTAGCATCAACAAATTAAAAGTGCATTTCTTTTTAAATAAACAAACCTTTAACATGATTGTGTTAAAATAAATAAAATATTAAAAGATTATGATAATAAAATAACATGTTGTTCTAGAAATAAATAATCTATCATTAAAGATATAAGTAACATTCAAACTCCATTTTGCATTAAAATCCATAAATTAACATCCTCAGCTGTATAAAGAAAACAAAATATTTTAGAATATGTTAAACACATAACACTAAGAATTTAAAAAAAAATTTGATGAAGTACAACACCTCATTAGAATAACCATACTTTTTCTAACATAACAACATTTTTATTTTGGTTGAATGTAGGCATTAAGTTCTTTAGTATTTATAAAAGCAAAATTTGAATCAAATGCCAATGAAATTAAGCAAACCTCGTTAATTCCTATAAAAAAACATCACCATGCTCCTTATATATTCATTATCACATTTATCTTTAATCTCATTTATATTTATCAAATCTCCATTATCACATATATCTTTAATCTCATTTATATTTATCAAATCTACAATTAAAACAAAATTAACCAATAAACATTACATATTAAACAATAATTTATTTTCAAACAAACTAATAACTAAAGGATCAAATCTTTCATTACCTTCATTTAAAGTATCTTGAATAGTCATGGTTGATAAATCACTTACTTCTTTGGTTGTTAAAGATGATGGATTATTTTTTACTATCTAATTTTCAGTTTCAAAAAATATCTTAAAATTAATTAGATTATAATTTTATCATTTTCAATAATTCCTAAAAAATCAAAGTAAAGGCACATAATATAAATATTAATGATGCTACTTAATAATATAAAAAACTTTTAAAAAATGAAAAAAAAAAGAAAATATTTTCGTGTCAATCTCAAATTATAATGAACGTAAACTAGATAACTAAGTTGGTGATGCTCCCATCAACTTCTTTTCTTAAAGTGGATGTGCTAAAAAATACTTCAATTTCTCTTGCATCAACCATTCCCGAATAAATTCCATAATTCCAGGCTGCATGATCTTAGAACCAACTGTGATATCAATTATTACGGGGTTAAATTTTTTACCCTGAAATTCAGCCCTATACGGTAGTCTAGTCCCAGCTAAAGTAAGCCTTGCCTCTCATTTTCACTCATGTTTGACTACAGCTATATGTTTCGCTTATTTAAAGAGGTTCCCACAGTTACCTTGTTATAAGTAAATAACATAC